ACAAGCTCTTACCATTAGCAAAATAACTCAATGAATCATCACCATTGAATGTTATGTCACATTTTTTCCCCATTTTTCTCCAATATGACTCATACATTGTTGGCTTACCACTATACACATATTATTGTATGAAAATGGACCTCATCTTTGGAGAGATTTAATCAATCTCAAAAGCTAGCTAGTTCATTAGGGGCGAATTCTATAAGGACGCAATGGTTTGCACGCCTGATTTTTTCTAAGGCCACTCTTTAAATTTTGTCCCCCTTTAAAGTACTAAGATGAATTATTTTTTATAGATAAATTTAGTCCTCTAGGATAACCAAAGAAATAATTTAAACGATCGCCTGAAATAAGTTATTGGAGAAAAACTATCTCATTTTAACACAAAATACCCCATGACATTTGTAGGGCACCAAATATAATAGAGTGCTCAACATTGATTAAATCGAAATTGGTGTTTCATATATTAAAAGTTGACTCGTGAGGATTAGTCAAGACCATAGGCGTATAACTCATATGAAACATTCTAAGAAAATTGAAATAAAACTATAAATAATATTCATTGATCTAGATTAATAGTTGTGGAAGTGCTCCTATAGTATCATTTTCTGGTGTTGCACAAGGGACTTTTTTATTTTCTTTCTAAGATCTTAAATCAGTGACAAATAAACTTATGAGAGAAGAAGATAGACTAGGGGTCAATATATAGGGAAGGATTTAAGTTTAATCTTTTCGTGTATAGAAAGGAAATTATATTTGTGACTGTTGAGTTTAAAAATGTATGAATGGAAAATGAAAAGTTAAATAAATGGACTATGAAAAGTTATATCAATGGAAAATAAAGAGTTATAACTTTTACGAAGAGTTATGACTTTTATGAAGAGTTGTGATTTTTATGAAAAGTTGACTTTTCTGAAGAGTTGTGACTTTTCCTTTTGGTTATGACTTTTACGAAGGGTTATGACTTTTGACTTTTCCCAAAGGGTTGTGACCCTTCCGATAAGGCACAATAAGCAACCGTCCACACAATAAGGACACAATGTGCATTTAGTGGGCTCGATTTTCTTCTTTGAGAAAAATACTTTTTTATATTATTTCTAATATGTTTCACATATCTTAGTATATAGGTTGAAACAGTATTAAGAACATTATTATACTGTTGATTTTTTTTGGTTCTAGTGATTGAGGGAAATAAATATACTTGTACATAGACCTTTGGTCTATCTTTAATCAACTAATGTTTTCATCAAATCTAAATTGTAAATTTTTGTATATCAATGATCAACAAAAGAAAGATTAAAATTTATTTTTCTTACCAAACATATTCATGGTGAAAAAAAACTCTAAAATATTTGGAGTGTGTTTGGTAGGGAGGAAATAATTTTTAGATTTTCTCATGTTCGGGTTGGTCAAAATCTTTGAAAAATATTTTTCTCGGAAATTAGATTCCTTAAACAATGAGGAAATGGTTTGCTCAATATAAGTACAAAAAAAACAAGTTTTATAAGTGTCATTCCACATTGATTGTCTCCTCTAACCCTCCAACTCAAACACACCTCATTTTCACCCTACCCTCATAGACTCTATCCCCACCCCTCATAGTATTTGTATCTAGATTGTGTATAAATAATTTTAGGATAATATTTTGGCATACCTACCTCACACTAGATCAAAATTACTAGTAAGAAGTCTACTTATTTTCTAAGAAATATTTTCCTTCGTATACCAAATTTGGTCTTTCCTTACGAATTTTTGTTGCATGTATACATTTAAAAATTAGAGTGCCCTATTATCTTACGTAGATCTCTAGTCTATCTTTAATAAACTATATATTTTGGAAAAATATAAATTGCAACTTTTTGTACATCAATAATCAATGAAAATAAGATTTTAATTTAAAAACTATTTATGTATTTTCAGTGTAAGGTCTGATGTTTATCTTTCCGTTTCAACATGGCTCAAGGCCATATGTATATCTATCATGCAAAGACATAAAGATGAAGAAGACCTATTGGTTCAGGATAATCTTTATTTTCATGTTCCAATAATAGAGGCCATAAATTTCATGATCCAAAATTGGACGTGATGACACACGTCTATTCCCACCAAGAAAAGTCAGTTTCAAATTAAACAACATGAAAGAAATGCAGAAAGTAAAACAAGAATAACATAAGAGCAGAAATTTACTCATTCTAATATAACCCCTGTCACACCCCGAGTCTAAACCCTTGACGTGGACAACACTCGAGAACTATCGTTGCTCCCCAAGCGAACGCTTGGCCTTGCTCAATACTTAGTGGAAGACTTACTCAGCAACATAGGAACTCAAATGTAGTTATTAACTCATGATATCTCATTAATAAAGTAGTTTAACTCAAATCGTCTCAAAACCTCAAATAAACATAACTATTCAACTCAAAGACTTTAAAACATCAACAAGGGAAACGGGAAAAAGACTCCTTAACTACTACTATCTATGAAGCCTCTAAATAACATGATTCAGGACAAGACACACAACAACCAAACAAGAACAAAACCATAATGTGAAGCCCTGCGAAAAGGAATAAGGCTCACCAAAGCTAGCTGGAATGCAATGGGATCAACGAAGTGCCTGTTGATGACCCTGAACACATGTATCTGCATCATGAAAAGATGCAGATTGAATGACATAAGTATATTTAATGTATGAGCATGTAAAGGGAAAATTGAAACAAATGTAAATATAGTTGGACTAATAGAAAAGGAAGACATACTCACCTCAACTCATTATAAAAGCAATGGTAAAAGAATGCAATCTATAAAACTTTTAAAACCATAGATATGGAGTCAATATGTGTAAAAATACTATAAAAGAAATCTTTACTCTTATTTGGGAGATTCTTTAACCGACAACCATCACAATGAGCTACCTGATAATACAACGTCTTGCCCACACTGCCAGAACTGTCCTATACCTTGTTGGGGTATATAAAACCTCAACTAAGTAGATCAACTAAGCTATGCTTAAAAGCGATAGGGAATCGTCTAAAAAGTATGACCCTTTACCCATGTTGGCATATATGGTTTATGAGGATTTTGAGTTTTCTGAACTCATCCACATATCGGTGCTCAATAATACTCCCAATAATATATATAACTCATTCTCATATGTTTTAAAAAGGGAAAAGGGTCTGAAAAATACTTAAACTGTTGCCGAAATTGTTGTTACAATACCAAACTTTATAAAGGACCTTTTACTCCTTGAATAATAGTATATTTTTTACCCCCTGAACTATTTAATAGTGTATTTTAAAGGTATATATGTGTCCACGTGGACACATTACTATTTATAATTATGCATTATTTTTTATGTCCACGTGGGCACATATATACTTTTAAAATACACTATTAAATAGTGCAGTGGGGTAAAAGGTCCTTTCCAAAGTTTGGTATCATAACAACAATTTTGGTCAAAGTTCGGATATATTTCAGAACCTTTTCCCTTTTAAAAACATTAGTTTTCAGCAATTTGAGATAATTACTCAAAAGATCCTCTTAAGAGGTGATGCTCAAGACTCCTCCTAAACTCATTTAGAAATAAGTGTTTCTCTCGTTTTAAATGTAAAAGCATTACACTTAGGAATACTTACTTCCTTTTATACTCATTTGAAACATATAAGTTAACTCTCCTCATTGTCATATTCATTTTACCCAAGTCTTAAATAAAATTATATATGATTGCAAAAGACTTCTCGAAATGACCCAAAAGAACTTTCTTGAACTTTCCTCTTAATTATACTTGGATTTGGAATGTGAATTTAAGAGCTATGATTAGGATATAGGATCTCTCAATGACTAATGAAGTCTTAGATAGTTAGTAATAGGAAGAGAGCTATGACTCGAACTAAAAAGAATTGGCGTAACGCGAAAGAGGATTTAATTTTTAGTCGTGAAATTAATTTCTATACAATGGACTCTGTATCCTCTCCATGACGCGGAGAAGAGGTAAGTATCTAAAGACTGAAATTTTAAGACGCCTCCGCGATCCAGACCTGGGCACATAGTTTTGTCCGATATTTTTTCCTTTCCTAAACTCGATTCAATTCATACCCAATGCATTTCCATGGTCCAATTTCACGAAATTTCATAAACCCAAAACAATTTCAATGAAACCCACACATAATCTATCCAGTGACTCAACACATTTGCAAAACCCTCACCTCAAGAACTCAAAGACCTCTATTGTCAACTAACTCAAGAAACTTCCCAAGAACTCAATAAATAAACTTCAAGAACGATTTCATGGGTAAAATTTTACACAATTGGCATGAAATTGAACAAACCAACACTATGAAAGCTTACATGCCTCGAAAGGATTAAGTTCTTGGCGATTTCCCTAAATTTCATGATGACCTCTTGAAACCTTCTCTTTTCTCCTCTTGAACCTTGTCCTAATTTTCTAGACGTTTAAGAATAAATTAAAACCGATGTCAATAAGTTTAGACCCCTATATTGGTGCGAAGGCTTAGTGGGGGTAAGTAAAAGAAAAAATACCCATTCATAAGAAAGATGAAATGCTTTAATTAGAGAGGCAGCACTCAAATGGGCATAACTCCTTCATCCGAGCTTGGTATTTGGCAAACTCGACGGCGTTGGAAAGATGACTCAAAGACCTTCGATTTAATACCTCATGGGCCACCTAACTACTTATGTGTTGAAAGTGATCATTGTTTGAAGTTGGCCCAAAACTAAAACCTAACGAAGTCTAAGGTGTTACAATATCTCCCACTTGGGAGCATTCGTCCTCAAATGAGGTTATACTAAGAAGAACAGGGGTGGCAAACATCCAACTATCCCAATTCTGGCACACAATGAGTAATCAAATATAAACTTAATGTGGCAACTTAAATAATACTTGACAAAGAGTTATTACCTTAGTTTGGAATTTCTCCAGAAGCAAAGATATGTGGGTATCTCCTCTTTATATCCTCCTCATGCTCCCAAGTAGCTTCCTCAACAAATTAATTTCTCCTTAAAACCTTGACTGATGCAACCTCCTTGGTCCTTAACTTGTGAACCTGATGATCAAGAATCTTAACAGGTACATCCTCATAAGATAGGTTTTCCTTCATACCGATATTCTCAGTAGGTATAATAAGTGAAGGATCGCCCATACACTTCTTCAACATTGAGATTTGGAACACTGGATGGAATGCTGCTAACACTGACACTAGCTCCAACTCATAAGCTACATTTCCAATTCTCTTGGATATCCTATTAAAACCAATATACCGGGGACTGAGCTTTCCCTTCTTGCCAAATCCCATAATACCCTTCTTGGGTGAAACCTTCAAATAAACCCAATCATCGACCTCAAACTCTAAGTCCCTTCACCTAACATCTGTATTGGATTTCTGACTACTCTGTGATGTCTTTAAAATTTCCCGAATAATGTTCACCTTCTCCATTCCTTGATGAACCAAATATGGTCCTATCAACTCAGCTTCACCAACCTCAAACCAACCAATAAGAGATCTACATCTTCTCCCATAAAAAGCCTCAAAAGGAGCCATTTGTTAACTAAACTGATAGATATAATTGTAATCAAAATCTATGAGAGTTATGTGATCATTTCAATTACCTTTGAAATCGATCACACATGCCCTCAACATATTCTCTAAATTTTGAATCGTTCACTCCTCTTGACCATCAGTCTGAGGATGAAAAACAGTACTCAAATTTACCTTCCAACCCAAACTATTCTGAAAAGACTTCCAAAACTGAGCGGTGAATTGTGCATCTCTATCTGAAATGATAAACATAAGAACACCATGAAGTTGAACTATCTCTTGAATATATTACCTGTCATAATCTTCTGCTGAATTGATAGTCTTTATTGACAAGAAATGGAATGATTTACTCATCCGATCTACAATCACCCAAATCAAATTGTAATGCCTACGATATCGAGAAAAACAAGTAATGGAATCTATATTGATCATCTCCCACTTCGATTGCGGGATATCAATATTCTGATCCATACACCTGGGCCTTTGGTGCTCTACCTTACCTTGTTGGAAATTTGGGCACTTGGAAACGAACTTTGCAATACACCTCTTCATACCAGTCCACCAGTAGACTAATCTCAAGTCACGGTATATCTTTGTAGAACTGGGATGGATTGAATATCTGGAACTATGAGCTTCTTCCATGATCCGCTCTTTGAGTTTCTCCACCCTTAATACACACAACATATCTTGATATCTCAACACACTATCTCCCCCTTGTTCCAAAGCTATTATTTTCTGCTTATGAGCATTTGCTTTTAGTTCAAGTAAAACAAGATCTTATTCTTGTTTCTCCTTCACCTCAGACACTAGTAACGATTTGGCTCCATTCATCACCACCACTCCACCTTCATTAGAATCAGGCCACCGAACTCCCAATCGTGCAAGTCTGTGCACATCTTTGGCCAATTTTTTCTTGCCCGCTTCAACATGGGTGGTACGTCCCATAGAAAACTTGTTCAAAGCATCAACAACAACATTAACCTTACTTGGATGATACAGGATTTGCACGACCCAAGGGTACACCCTAGATGTAACATGGCGTATAGGACCCTGAGGGACCCCATACAAACCACTTAGCATTCATAACATAGAAAATAGAATAATAGAGGTAAAACATTATGTCAAGTCTAATAATTTTATAAAAGAAAAGCGGAAGTCTAAAACGCTTGCCTCAATAGCCATATAATACAATAAAATGCATTTGAGCCTAACCCATACATCATGTCCAAAACTAAAAATAAGAAACAAAATTGAAACAATAGAATTCGTCCTTGAAGCATGGGAACTCACTTAAGCTCGGGAATCTCAAAATCAACTACTAGCCACAAAACTGAGAAACCTGAATGTCGTACCCTATATTTGGGGTAATATAGGCAAGAGTATGCGTTAGTACAAAATAATGTACCAAGTATGATAGCTATGCATTAAATATTTTAGAGAATGCTAAAAGAGGACATTTCATGACATGCAATTGAGCAAGCTAAAATATGATATAAAAGGGTTAGAAAACATAAGTCATAAAACATGGTTAATGCAAGCTAACATCATTTGAAAACCTTGAAAACATATGAGATACTTCTTAAAGTAACCTTAGTTCATTATTAATGTGGGAATTAGCCTTAACCGACAAAGAGACCATGTGAGCTATAACGTGATCCCATGGTGTCTCCCACATCAAAAAGGGTTGTCCTACTTGCCAAGGCAAGGACCATGAACTTCTAGCTTATGTGGATCCACTAGCTAATGTCGATCTAGATAATCATCCTATGGGGGCACATAGGTAAGAGATATGGAGATGGCTTCTAGAAACCCAGCCTCTACTAACAGGAGAGCTTCCATCTCCATATCCTCTCGGTGCTAAGCATAAATCTCACAGAAAAGTCATTTCTTACTTGTTCTTATTATCCATGGAAATGTATCATTCAATACCCAATCCAAGCTAAGTTTCATTAGGAAAGCTCTTAATCTTTGATTCAATTAGGTGAGAATACCTTTCAATCTTAGAACCCTTTATTATGTGAGAAAACTTTTCACATCATACTTTAACATGTTTCATGAGAAATCCTTTCAACAACATCATCATTGATACTTTACTCTCAAAGCATCCTTAAAATATTTGCATATGTTTCACAACAACATAAATAATTCCATAATTTACCTTTCAAGGTTCAAAACCCACTTTCAATCATCAACATTTAGAAAACATGGGTTAGATATGGTATCATCATAAATTCATGTAATTATATCAATACATGCTTAATTTCATAAAAAAATCTCCTTTCATAATCAAAATCCCACATCACATGATCATAACTTGAAAACATAGGGGTTCCATGGGTTCATAGGGGAAATCATCATAAAATCATTATATATCATCAATCCATGCATAAGAGATCATAATCCAATGATTAAAATCAATAATCAAGAGAACCCATGACAATTGAAGAAAAGTCTAACTCAATTTAGGGATTTCTAACTTTGAAAGTAGAGGAATTTGGGAACTCTATGAATGAAAGGAATCCATGGATGAAAACTATCATACCTTACTATCAAAATTCCACAATTGCTCGAGGAATGGTGACTTGACCTTGATACTTGCATGATCCATTTCATGTTCTTCATGTTCTAGAGAGAGAAATATTTTGGAGAGGAAGAACCCAATTTCTTTTGGTTTGTGATGAGTCCGCGATTTGGACTCATTTAGGGCTTTATTTGAACATATTTAGTGTCCTCAAATGTATATTTTGTTCCAATAACTGATGTAAATCCTTGAATTTTAGGTATTTGGATTGAGGGACAAAGCATGGACACTATTGAGCAAACAGGAACAAGGCAGCTGAAAGAACGAAGGAAAGAAAGCTTGAGGATCGCCTAACCTATTAGGTGAGTCATCGAACGGCCAGGGTCTCACCTAATGTTCTAGAGTGCCAAGCCTTAAAGGATAAAATGTAGTCGGCGAGATAAAAGAGCAGTCGGCGAGTCGCCAAACGTCTCCGCGATGCAGTGCCATATCGCCCAAAGTTTGAAAACCGCAAGGATGTTCAAGGCAAAAGAAGAATGGCGATGAAAGTGGCGAAAGGGCTGATCACCGAGTGGATCAGCGATCCCAACTAACTGGGCCGAATGGTCCTTCGCAGCACACTTTTTGACAACTATAAATACTTGTTTAAATATTTAGCTTAATATCTGATCTTTTGTTGAATCATATTATTATTCAGTTTTTGAAGTCTAGAGCTTAGAACTGAATAGTTAGACAATATTTCCTTCGCTTTGAAGATTTGAATATTTCCATTTCTAAGAAATTGGAAGTGGGGTTGAAGATTCTTCATTTTAGACATTTGTAAAGAGAATACCCAGTTGATGGAAACACAACTTGGTAATGCTTCTTTTTACCTTTTTATGATGTCTAGCTAAAACCCCAATTCTTGGGGTGTTATTATGTGATTGTGGGTTGATTTAACTGTTGGATATTGTTAATTAATAGTTTATATGTTGTTTAAAAGTGATTTCGTTCAGTAATCGTGGTTGAATTTAATGGGCTGTAGTTCCTAATACAATCTTAACTTCGTGTTTATGGCTTTCTAGAGAGAGGTTTTAAATACAAATTACTGAATCGATGGTTTGTGGGTATTGGGTTGTCATGGGTTCAGCTTGACAGAGTGAGTCCTAAACCCTTTTCCACACATTCAGCTCGAGCGAGTTAATAGACTAAAGTGAAGGTTATGCTTCATTGTTGCTTATTGGTGTTCGAGAGAAACCAATTTGATTCGGGGAAAATTCTTCGAGAGAAAGTTTATCCCCACTAAAGTTTAGCTTATTCACTAATTTGCAGATGTTTACAATTAATTGCAATTACCCGATTGTTTACTTCGGCCCATAATCTAATCACATCCCAAGAATCTCGACTCCATATTCATATTTTCATTTTATTTGCTATTTTAGTTAATAATCGACTACAAAACCCCTTTGATATTTGACATTTGTGTCACCCCAAACTTGAATTATGTTTTTCTTCATAAATGTTTTTAGCTATGATTGACTAGAGCATATTATTACTTGCCTTTTGATTCTTAATAATGAACCACTCCATTGGGACTCAACCCCAACTCACTTAGCTGGGTTATATTAGTACTCAAGATCGATGACACTTAATTTTCGATGAAGTGTCCTGATACGTGAAATCAAAATGGCGCCGCTACCCGGAAGTGGTGTTACTTGAGAATTTTCAGTTAAGTTAAATTTTGTTCTTGTTAGTTATAGTGATACTTACTTATTTTTTAGTTTTGGCTTGTGTGTTGTTGTTTTTGAGCAGAGACTATGAACATAGTTGGTAGCAACAATAGGCAAATGATTGAGACTAACAAGAAATGTAAGAGGACCACTCTCTGGTCCCACTATTAACTCAGTTGGACGATTTGGACAAAAAACTATTAGAGGTTGAAGTCTAGTGCAAAAGAAAAGATAGATGCATAGCCCCTCATGAGCAGAGAAAGTGGAAGGACAATGAGAGTAGACGTCTCGAGAATACGATGTTAATCATTCTCCAAAAGATAAATGAGCAAGATACAGTGCTAGAAGAGATGAAAGAGAATGTGGAAGTGCTATATCAGATGATTGGCTCTCACTCCAAATCTATCTAGCTAATTGAAAACCTTATGAGTCATGTATTGCCTTATGTCTACCCAAATAAACAAGAGGGGTTACCTAGTGACACCAAGGTCAACCCTAAAAGTGAAGTTTGAATGAGGAGTTGTGTCGTGCCACGATGTTAACTAAGGTGCCTCTTGGGAGGCAACCCAAGGCATTACTGCATTTTGTTTGTGTTAGAAATAATGGTGTGTGGAATGTGCAGGTCAAAGTGTGGAAAGTGGTTAAAAAGTGCATGTTGGCGAGCCAAAGCTCCAGTCGGCGAATCTCCGAAGAGGTCGGCGATCCCAACCCAGACCACTGTTGGACTCAAGACATGTTCAAAGTGGAGTCTGCAAAACTCGGCGAGCCTAGGAAATTCTTGGTGAATCGCCGAGCAGGTCGGCGATCACGATCTAGTCCGTCGTTTGGACTCCCAAATTAAGTGAAGGTCCTATATGTAACACCCTGACTTTTCAAAACGTCTAAATTATTTTGTATCTTCATGGAAAGACATGGAGGGTGAGTAATAAATTTAAAATGATGTGGTATGTCATATTTTAAGTGTTCAAGGGTTGTATCTCAAGTTTTGAAGTAAAGTAAGTGGTAAAATAAAAGTTGACGGAAGTTATTGTAAGTTCCTTTTTTAAGATTTCTCTGCAATTTGGGTCAAATATTTCGGAGGTTTTCTCCCAATCTATAAAGATTTATGGGGCCCACGACCTATCAAAATTGAAGGTCTACGAGTCTAATTTCCAACGCATTAAACCGTTTGTTCATACGACTTCAGAATAGAGAGATATTTGCATTTTTGTGAGACTGCACAAGCAGGCACGTGAGTTGGGGCCCTAGGTCGGTGGAACTTTACATATATCTTCTTCTTAGAACATTTTCTTCATTTTTAGCTAAGAACCAGGAAAAAATAGAGAAACCCATTTCTAAGATCAACTAAAGAATAGATTTTCTCGACTTAAGTCCTTGACGAAAGTTGTTTTACACGTTGGGCTCATCATCGT